GTTTAAACAGTTATGATATGTTTCAAATGGTTATACCATTTTTCGTATTTTATAATACCTTTATTTTTTAGAGAGAGGTATTTGAGGAAATTCAGACATTGATTGATCAACGTATGTGAGAAACGGCTGTCTCTACCGTGCAATGACTCAGAAAAGCAATACTTCAACTAAAAGTTTCTCATTACATCAAACTAACCGAATAGTTATAAGAATAGTTGTTAAAAATAGCATGTGTAACTTGATATGCTCTATAAAATGGCTCATGTGAAGCTCCCAAATCTGACTGAAAAATGACATGGTCTGATTTTCGAGAAACCTCACTTGATTTTCCGGCGTTTTTGTACAATCCCAAAACTCCCACTATGGCTCATGATAGTATACACAGTGTACTCCAACAATATTATAAGAAGTGAGAGTTTTGCTCCATTTTTCGAGCGAAAATCTTTCTCCAAAATGACCGGATCGATGATTTGGGTTCTCACAACATCACCTACTGTAAAAGAACGAAAGCATGTCTGGAGCTCGTGGTTATGTGAATTTGTAGTAGATACTATCTAGTATTTATGGTAGAATTGTTGAGTTTAAGTCATGTGTCATTACGAAGTTGTAGGTAGTTTAAACTAACAGTTTCCTCAGATGCCGAAATTTGTGCGTTTTCGGGCTCTTTGAAAAAACTGAATCTCGCAGCAACGCAGCAACATTAAGACCTGCGGTTTTCGTCAAAATTTATGAAAATGTTTGCTCTAAAGCAGTCCGCTATGTTGGAAGAAATCTGAGATAGTCGATGGAGCAGCATTATACGGTAATAGGTCGTGGCTTATCTTTAATGGCTCATAAATACCATTTGGTTTTCATTACTTTTAGTATTAGAAATGAAACTCGATCGACTGGCTCTGGAAGTATAACAATTACCCGCGCCAAAATGTCAATGCTCGTAGCAACTGTTGGGGCAAAGTACAACAAACTCCTGAAGTGTTGGGCAACATTTAATGGTGGTTTGGAAGGTTTATATAGTCGAATGATATATCAAGTATTTCCTCCGATCAAGCCTACACGTCCAGAAAAGCAAGTTTAAAAACTTCTTTTTCGTTCTAGCAAACGCGCTCAAAGAATCTGTTACCTTTGTACTAAAGTATTATCCGTTTTAAAACATAGAAATCTTCACCGTTTTTTTGAACAAACTTGATAACAGAAGTGATCGGTAGCTACGGCTTTTGCAATTTTTTAAAGATGGCGGCAAAAGCCGCTTTCTAACACTTCTGCTATTAACATTTATTCAAAACTTAGTGGAGACTCTTATGTTTTCGAAATGGATACTGGCACCAATGTAAAATCTGTAATTATTAATAGTCGTTATTGTGTTTTAATATAGTCAGAAGAAGAAAAAGAATAAACAAAATGTTCCATCATTTGCACATGTAGCGTTAATTCTACATTTATTTGGTGATGTCCATTACATATGGAGGAAATCAGCAAAAGATGATGAAGATCCGGAAGAAGGTAAAATAGTTTTAGTTGCCGAACTAACAATAATTGTTTGTTCCTCTTTCCTATAAAAGACACATGGTCTCAAAACTTACAACTGGCATCAGGTTCTCAAACGCAATCCGCGGAATGTAGCGCTTATAATTACACATATAATAAAATTATTGATTATACGTCGAAGAAAACTATTAATGATCAGCCAGATGAAAAAGAACTGCAAGACCAGATACTCGATATCCATACCAAGGCGGTGATTATCATTCCTCGTTTATGCATTTTATTTCAAATATTCAATTATGCCATGGATGTATTGAAAGAGTGTGAAGATCATGTTGTGTTTGATGAGGGTTACCTAGTATCAAGAAAAATTAATCAATTAATGGTCCGAAAAGCAACAGAAATAGTGAACCAAATATTAGCTTCTGCACCTAGAAGTCAGTATTATCCCCAAATGCCGATGTTATTCGTAGAAAAACCGGCTTGTATTGCAGCCTGTGACTATTATGATTATCTTAATAACATGGCTGTCATATTATTTACATTACAAGAATCACCCACAGAGCAGTATGTATCAAAAAAATCGTTATCTATGTCTAGGTTGACAACATTGATATCATCATCAAATGTACTATCAACATCGGAAAGCACAATTTGTTTATTTCCATTTAATTTTTTCATGTTTGGTGCTCTAGCATCAAGAATGCCAGAACCATTGGAAACAAAAAAGTAAGTATTTTGAAGTACGCTGTATAGATAATGTTGAAGATTTTTGCTCTTTTTCCAGTTCACCATTTCATAATTGCAGTCATTTAGTTGAACCAGCATTAACAAATTTAATGACCGATGGAATTTTGATCAGTGGTGATTTTCTAGTCGATTCTAAAAATCGTCGTCATAAGAGCATAATGAAAGTTCCAGTGCCACATGATCAACAAAAACGTGATCTATTTGAAGCTAAATTGAAAAAGTATAATGTTAAATTAAGTGATTATGAAGCATTGTACAAAACATCTGCAAAACCAACAAAATGTGGATTATCACGTGAAACTATTTATTTTTACTCTCAAATTGCTGATTTTGTACCTGAATATTCAAAATATAAAACGGATATGAAAGAAACAATTGAATATTTAATGAAAGATGGCCATATTACAGAAGTAATTGTCAATAATGATATTCAATATGCTATTTCATCAACATCGACCCATTTTCGTCCTCTTCCAATAGATAAAGCAACGTATGAGCAATTAAGAAAGGAATTGCCTCTATCACTGAAGCAAAAAAGAACAGGAAAAATAAATTCGGTTTCAACGCCACAACAACCACTAATACCTAATTTACAATTGCTTCACCGATTTGCTTCGGATTTATCTACGATTGATATTAATGCATTATTTGAAATGTTAATTCAAACAAATTTAAGTATGTTAAAACCATTGGTTAATTCAAGTACAAATAATTTTTTTTCTGGGGTCACTTTATAACGTATCAAAATTCAGTTACAGTTGAAAATCTACAAAATCAAACGTCGGATATGCTATTGAGAACAAGTTTTAATTAATATCAAAATTCTTTTTTAGCTGTTGGTCGATCAAACAGGCAATCATATCTGTACCATAGTATGCTATCCTCACGCGAATTTTGTATCACTACCGAAATGCTTTCTTGTTTGTGAATGCTTTCTTGTTGACGTGAATGATGCTTTTTCCATGTGAAATACAAACTACCGAGATG